AAATTATTTTGAGTCCCTGGAAACTTTGAGGTTTAGTCATGGAAGGTAGGTTTGCTTTCTAAATAAAGAACAATGACAGTGTGAATGTAAACTACCTGAGAAGGAAGTAATTCAGAATGAAATATATTATTTTGTTCAGAGTAGTTTTCTTGTTTGATTTGTAATTTGAATGTTGGCTCTAGAAAGCTGTTTATTTTTTAAAACTGAATTTTATCTTTGGTTGGTTTAAGGGATTTAAACTTGTCAAAATATTTTTTGCAAGTAGACAACCCATCTAACAATGATTGAGGGCTTTGGAATAATACACTTTGATTCAAATTTTGATTCAGGTCTTGTATTTGCTCTGTGACCTCAGCAAAGTTAACATTTTTGAACCTCAGTTTCCTGGTCTATAAAGAGGAAAATATGACCCTGTAGGATTGTTTTAAAGATTAAATAGGATTGATTGTGAATTTTTAGCTCTGTGAGGACTCAATTAATGGTAATAATAAATTAATGTGGTTATTTTCAGTTTTTAAACCTTAAATCATAAATGTATGAACATTTAAATATTAGTAAATAACCTCAAAAGTAGGAACTTCTGACATATATTATGTTTCCATGAGTTAGTTTCATTCTGTTGCACGTTTTGCTATTAAAAAAAAATCTGCTAATACGGATTTTCACTTTTTAAAAACTCTTGCAGGATATGAATCACTTCCCCTGCCCCAAGCTTCAGTACTAATTGGCCAGATTTTCATTGTATCTACAGCTTGTATTTGTGCAAGAAAGTCTACCTGGCAAACAAAGTACAGAATTAGAAGACAGTTTGTAACTTTAACCAGTGGAAAATGAAGGGAGAGTTTGATTAAGAAAGGATGGAGTGATCCAAATGGGAATTTGATGGGAGGAGAACATGACAGTTATTCTAAAATATTAATTCGTTCTTGAGCATTAATCTTCAGTTGATTTTGATAGTGACATTTTCTTGTGATGATAGTGAGAGAATTTATTTTTGAAACTTGATTTTTTTTGGTTTGTTTTAAAAACCTTCATCATGCAAGCATTTATGCACAACCTATTTAGGCCCTGTGGAGCACCTAAGTGAAGTAAACATCAATCATAAATTCTGTCTACAAATAAATGTAGACATCAGTTTAATTGAAGGCATATTTTCTGAAATGATCTGGATATATAATCACTTACAGCATTTTTTCAATTTCACAAAGGTCAGTAGTAATTAACCATCAGCTGATTGTCAACAGAAAAGCTGGTAAGAACTTTGCTGTCTTGCACCTTAGTAATTTTTCTTTAACAACTTTTGGTTGAGCAATTAGGATACTGCTGAATCTAGAAAAACTTGTCTAGACACCAGCCTTATTGAAGGCGTTTTATTTTAAAGACTCTTTAGATGAGATTGGACTATGATATAGTTGAAAAATTGGAAATATCTGCATTTTCATTTATGCATACCAGTATGAAAAGAATTATTTTGTCAGGTGCTTATCTGTTAGGCCGGATATACTTTGGGGTTTTTTTGTTTCTTTGACATCAATTCTATTTTATTATTACTTAAATTTTTAAAAATTTGAATGAAAACTTATATACGCTGTTGGGTTTTCATTCGTATATATACATTTTCTTTTATAATATTAATTACTACTGATTAATGTAGTTAATTAATTACAATATCTGAGCAAGCTCATATTTTATATTGCTTTTCTCTATGCTATTGATTTTTTAAAAATTAACTTTTAGTCCAGTTATTTTGTCAGCAAGAAAGATTAGAAAACTAAATGTCATTGTAGAGACAGAAATTTGTGTGAAATCATAGACAATTTGTACAGCATAGACAATTTATACAGAGGTTTTACTTTTATGGCATTTAGCTGCCTATTAGTTAACAAAAGTTATGAACAAAACAATTAGAGATGGAACTTTAATTCACTAGATGAGTTTAACTAAGTGGTGATAAGTATTGTCAGGTTGTTTTAGAAATGCTGTATCTTTAGATGTTTACTATCTACGTGATAGTGCTTAATTTGGTTATAATAATTAGTATATAAATGCTGTTTATGTAGCTAAGATTTTAAACTGGAAATACTTTTAACCTAGATACTGTTGTTAATTTTATGTACCATTCAGTTGGAACAGACTGAAAGTTGACTCGGGAGGGTCAGCTTGCTGGAGCAGGTTTGCTGTGACAAATAGCTTGGGAGGAGATTGCCCATCTTTCTCCTGTGGAGCAGCTAGTATATTCTAATTACTTGCCTTTGGGTTGACAGAGCACCTACTGAGCACTAGGCCACCACACAACTCCCTAATCTTAGATACCTGTTAGGGAAAACATAGGAACCAACCAGTTCCCATCAAGTCAGTCCTGACTCTTGGTGATCCTTCGGTGTTAGAGTAAAAAAACTGTGCTTCAGTGTTATCAATGGCTGCTTTTGCCAGACCTTTCTTCTGAGATTCTTCTGGGTAGATTCCAGCCACCAGCCTTTTGTTAGCAGATGAGCATATAAATTATTTTACTATTACTACTCAGTGACTTCTAAACTGCAAAGTCGCTGCAAATTTCTTTCTAGAAGTATGTAATTTCACAGTTTTTAAAACAAATATCTAAATGAGAGAAACTTTTTTTTTCTAGAAAGGATTCAAATTTGTGTCAATGGAGAAATTTGGAGGGTTTGTTGGTTTTTTTAAATCATATCCGGGAGATGCTATCTTGTTTAGGTAATTTTTATAATCCTAAGTGGAACATCTTTGTGTCCTTTTCCATCATCTTCTGGCAGCATTGTTTTTATCTTTTGTTGTTATTTAGTGTCTAATTCTTTAACAAATTGATACTTTGAATTCTGGCAATATTGTCCATGTCTAGAGATAACTATTTTGTACTGAATAAGGCATTCATTGTTGTTTCAATCCTCAGGGCTGTGTCAGCATAAATTATAAATCTTGAATTATTTCTTGGTAATTGTACCATTTTTAATAATTGGTCATGTTGAGGAAAATACATCCCATCACCCGTGTGATGGCATAAGAATTTGAAGATAACTTCATAATCACATTAATTTCATTAGTTAAAATGTAGATCAAGAGTGAAGAAATCTTACCTTGAAACTGCTGGAGTTTCTGGGAGAGGGTGAGATGTGAGAGTCTTTGAATTTTTTGGCTTGTTTTTTTCCTTAATTTTCCAAAATTGTTGTCATGTTTTACACATATACTTATGCATTCTTTGGTTTTAAACTAAATGACTGGCTCCTGAGTTTTGATTGATAGCAAAGGAGCCACCACTTTTTCTGTGGTGGCTTGTACATTGCTATGATGTAGGAAACTTGAGCCACCAGTATTTAGATACCAACAAGGTCACTCTTGGTAGTCAAGCATCAGAGGAACTTCCAGACTAAGGCAGCCTAGGGAGAGAGCCCTGGTGTCAGTGAGAGCCCAGTGGATTGTTCTGATACAGTGCTCGAAGATAAGGCTTAGGTTGGAAGGCTCTCAGAATTTAGTGTCTACAAAAAGGGGGCTGTCTTGAGTTGGCTACTTAATTAGCAACATAATATAAAGTAACATTTGGAACGTTTTAGTGTACCCAGTGCTAGCATGAGACCAAAAGTGATTCCAAGTAGGTTTCCTAAGGAGAACACCCAGCCTTCTGTATTAAGAAGCATACTTGATAGACTCTGTAACTGAAATTGGGGGTTTGATTTCATGTTTAGAACATAGTCCTTGTAAACATATCAAGCAATTATCCTAGAAAATGAAAAAGTGCTTTGTTCTTATGCATTATTCCATGACTTTGACAGGTTTTGTTGGTACTCAAATAAAAGCATTTAATATAATGTATCTGTTTGCCACAATATCTTTGACATTCTGTGGTTAGTTTATTATATCCTTAGAATTAACATCTCTTTGTGCTGCATGGAGTCACTGCTGCTTGGATGAGCTTTTGCTGAATCAGCTGATAAGGTGGCCAGAAAGATATGCATTTGATTGTATACTTGTGCCAAGACTGTTGGGAAGCCAGCTTATATCCTGTCCCAGGAAGGAATGCATAATGGGCTCTCTTTGCCCTCTGACCAGAGTGCATAGAGCTATGTTTTCCTTCTCCAGCCAAATCTTGGTCTCTTTATTATGCTTTGTGTTATTTTTGCACACTTGATTTTCTAGTTCTGAGTGTCTAAATTTTTTTCATGAGTTTAAGCAAAAAGACAAAGCATTAGTAATCAACAATAGGAATAAGTGTTTTTCCTGAAATGCTGATAAAATTTTTTATGAAGGGAAATGTTAATTATCTACCTCAGATTCTTTAAACCTCAAAACATATTTCCCTCCCTCCTTAAATGCACATAGAAAACGTTTTAAAATAACTTGTCATAGTTGTCTATTTCCCCCATGTTTTTAAAATTCTCAGTTTAATGTTGCTTGGGTTGAACAGTAGCCTATGTATTTAATTGTCAAATAAATTGCCTCCTGTAGTAGTCATAGGAAGTATCAAAACAATTATAAAAACTTATTTTTTAAAAACTCCTGAAGTCATGAGTGAAAGTGTTTATCCTCTGTGCCTTGTGTAAGTAGAATTATTTAGTCAGCTTCTCAGCTCAGTATTTGTCCTCAGTGTTTTTGTTTGTTTTTTAAGTCTAGCTCCCTAATCCAGTCTGATAAATGCACTTAAGAAGGAAAAGATTATTGTCATTTCTATGATCTGGGAGATGAAATGTGCAAGCCTGGTGATGTGCCTCAGATGTTTAATGTATTTCAGTTTGCCTGGGTGTGAACCCTAAGGTCACACATCCAATCTGATGAAACACATATTCATCCCCATCTAGTAACATCCTATATTGCTTTATGTCCGGTACATTTAATATCACAGATTGTCCATTTAGGTGACAATTTATCTTTTAAGGGATTACCTTTTAAGGTAGTAATGTTGGTATAGTGTTGGTATAGTAATGTTGGTAAGACAGTGCTCTGACAGTGCTTGCTTCACTCCTCTGACATTGCGTTCTTTGTCTTTTCAGTTGTCCTTATTGGAGATTCTGGTGTTGGAAAGAGTAATCTCCTGTCTCGATTCACTCGAAATGAGTTTAATCTGGAAAGCAAGAGCACCATTGGAGTAGAGTTTGCAACAAGAAGCATCCAGGTTGATGGAAAAACAATAAAGGCACAGATATGGGACACAGCAGGGCAAGAGCGGTATCGAGCTATAACATCAGCGTAAGTCTCAGAATTTTTAAGTTCTTAGAAGTAGGCTGTCATCAAGTGAACTAGATGGCTTTTAGTAATGGAAAAGGTACTGTTTTGTGAGTTTGAGGGGTTTATGGGGGGAAAAAAATTCCTTTTAAGAATTCTAAGATTAAAATTTGACATTTCTTTATAAGGTGGATCTTCTTAAAAATATTTGGTTTGTATTTTAAGTTGTTCTGGTGTTTGGATCTTATTTTATAGTTGTTTTCTAGTAGTAAAAATATGTTTTCTTTTTTTTACAGATACTATCGTGGAGCTGTAGGTGCCTTATTGGTTTATGACATCGCTAAACATCTCACATATGAAAATGTAGAGCGATGGCTGAAAGAACTGAGAGATCATGCTGATAGTAACATTGTTATCATGCTTGTGGGCAATAAGAGTGATTTACGCCATCTCAGGGCAGTCCCTACAGATGAAGCAAGAGCTTTTGCAGGTTAGTGATATATATATATATATGTATTCAGTGACAGGAGATTTTATACCTACTTATGCTTTGTTTTTCTATTTTTTTTATTACACTCTTCCATTTAGGGTAAAAAGTTATAATAAATAGATATTTAGAAAGAATTATTTGGAAAATTTGTGATGCATACATGCAAGCCAAGTATTGCTGAAGATCATCAAAAAATGGTTAGAACAGTACATTGACAGAGAATTGCCAGAAGTAACAGCTGGGTTTGGAAGCGGGTATGGCATTAGGAATAAGATTGCTGATGTCAGGTGAATATTGGTTGAAAGCAGAGAATACCAGAAGAATGTCCATATATAGCCATTTGACTGTGTGGATCACAATAAATGGTGATTACTAACATTGAGAAAAATGAGAATCCCTGAACACTTAATTGTTGTTGTTGTTGTTGTTGTTGTTGTTATGTGCCATTGAGTTGCCTGCAACTCATAGTGACCCTATGTACAACAGCCCTAAACTCTGCTCTGTCCTGTGCCAATCGCACTGTCTCTGACACTCCCATCCGAATTATCCCAGTCACTGAATCAATCCACCTCCTAGAGGGCCTTCCCCTCCTGCGCTGTCCCTCCACCCTCCCAGGCACGATGTCCCTCTCCAAGGACCGGTCTCTCCTCACAACATGTCCAAAGTATGTTAGACGGAGCCTCAGAATCCTTGCCTCTAAGGAGCCACCCGGTTTAACCCTTTCCAGGACGAATCTGTTTGTTTTCCTAGCAGCCCATGGTATTCTCACTACTCTTCTCCAGCACCACAGCTCAAAGGCATCAATTCTCCTTCTATCCTCCTTGGTCATTGTCCAACTCTCCGATGCATAACAAGTGATTGTGAAGGCCATGGCCTGTATGAAACGCACCTTAGTCTCCAGAGAGACACCATTGCTCTTCAGTACTTTGGAGAGGTCCCTAACAGCAGACTTTCCCATGGCAATGCGCCTTTTAATTTCCTGGCTACTGGTGCCAAGAGTGTTGACTGTGGAGCCAAGCAAACTAAAGCTGTATATAATCTCAATCTCTTTACTATCCATCCTGATGCTGCCAATTGGTCCAGTGGTGAGAATCTTTGTCTTCTTGACTTTGAGTCTCAATCCATATTGGAGGCTGCAGTCCTTGAACACTTAATTAGGCTCATATAAAACCTATATCTAGCTAGACCAAGAAGCTGATGTCTAAACAGAGCAAGGGGACACTGCATGGTTTAAAATCAAGAAGAATGTGCATCAGGACTGTATCCTTTTCCCATATTTATTGACTCACTGAGCAAATTATTCAAGAAGCTGAACTCTTTAAGACTGTGCTATTAGGATTGGAGGAAGACTCATCAGCAACCTGTGTTATGTAGGTGACACAATCTTGCTTACTGAAAGTGAGGAGGACTTGAAACACAGCAGATCAAAAACAGCAACCTTCAATACAGATTACATCTCAACATCAGGAAGATAAAAATCCTCACCACTTGGCTGATAGGCACATTATGATATAAGGAGAAAAAATTGAAACTGTCAATGAATTCACTAGTTGGCTCCACAGTCAACACTGTTGATACCAAGAGTCAGTCAGGAGAGCAGGAGACCATTGCACTGGAAAGGTCTGCAGTCAGGGACCTCTACATATTATTGAGGAACAATGATACCAGTTTGAGGACTAAAGTGCACCTGATTCGGGCCATGAACTTTGAATTACTTGCTGTGCATCTGAGAACTGAACAGTGAATAAAGATGACAGAAGAAGAATTGATACCTTTGAGTTGTAGTGTTGGAAGAGTACGCAATATCTCATCGACTGCCAAAAGAACAAACATACATATCTTGGAGAAAGTGCAACCAGAATGCTACCTAGAGGCAAGGATGATGAAGCTTCGTCCCTCATACTTTGGGCACATTGTTAGGAGGGACTCTTCACTGGAAAGGGGTATCATGCTGGAAAGATGGAGGGCCAGCAAAAGAGAGAAAGACCTTCAGTGAGATGAATTGACGTGGTGACTGCAGCATTGGGGTCAATGTATGTCAGTGATGAGGAAGATAGCACAGGATACAATAGGGTTCAGATCTGTTGTTCATAGGGTGACCGTGAGTCATAGTTGTCAACTTCTAAAAACAAAAACCTATAGTTCTTTGCTTAATATTGAGTCATTAAAACATTGTTGTATTTTGAACCTTTGTTGCCAAAAAAGTTGAATGTCATAAACAGTAGGTTAAATATATTATCCTGTGCTTCTTCCCTGTTTTCCAGTATGCCTCTGTATTTCATATGTAAGTGCATTGTGTGGTTCTGAAAAGTAATGGCCCAGGAAGTGGAGTAGGAGTCTAGAAGATTAGCAGCCATATTTCGTTTGCTTTATAGAATTATCAACCAGCCTCTAGTCCCTAGTCCATTCTGGTATTATGCTAGAATGCAACATTGTACATTCTTGACAAATGAAAGTTGTGACCTTGCATTTGTAATTGGTACAAACAGTTAACTTCATGTCTCCTGTAAGATACAGCTTTATTTCAGATAATAAAATTACAGAATTTATTTTAATATACTCATGTTCAAAACATTATATAGTTAATAAGGAGAAGGTAGTAAGTAGATAGTAAAGGGTTGAAAATAGCTGGGTATTTGATAAATTCACGACTTTTTTTTACATTATTGTGTTTTTAATAGTGCTAGTGATAAAATATAGATGTAAGAAGCACTGATTTTAACTAGATCAATGAAAATGTTTGACTGTTATTTTTAACAAATCAACTAATTGGAGATGTAATGATACCCTTACTGACCAGGAGGCACCGGTAGTTTTTTATTTAAGAAAGTGTAGTTCCTTTTGTGTGCTTGAGTGTCATACCCTTTGTATTTGTTGTGACTTAAGTTTATGTGTCTCTTACAGAAAAGAATGGTTTATCGTTCATTGAGACATCTGCTTTAGACTCTACAAATGTAGAAGCTGCTTTTCAAACAATCCTAACAGGTAAGGATTGGGTTTGAGATTGTACCACTGGAAGTTCTCAGTTTTAGGAAGGTAATTTAAAAAAAATTTATTTTAAAACTATCAATTTTTTAAATTAAAAAACTAAAACAACCACAACTACCTGAAACTATATATGACACCATCTGAGCATGACTGTCATTTGAAAGCTACTTTGTTGGTGTTTGTTGGTGGTAGTAGGTGCCATTGAGTTGACTACAATTCATGACAGTCTTGTGAATAACAAATGAAAACTTTGCCATTTTCTTGCCATTATCACAATCCCAGGCGCAGTTCCCTTGATGGAGTCACTGTGCCAGTCTGCCTTATTGAGAGCTTTGTTTTTATCTAACTCTGCTTTCAAACCAGAATAGCAGAAGTTATTTCTCTTTCAACTTTCACTTGCCGTGGTGTCAGAACCAACTCAGCTGACCTTTTGTTGGGTTTCCTTGACTGTAAATCACACAAGAGGGGACTGGCCATCTTTCTTCTGTGAAGCTGCTTCTGGGTTTGAACCACTGGAGCAGCATGGCTTTTGAGTTGGCAGAACTCCCTATAAGTTATTTAGAATATGAAATATGAAACTAGTTGCAGTCTGTTGAGCTTCAGTCATCCTAATGTATATTGGTTACTTTGGGGTAAAATACTTTGAAAATAATTTGTTGACCTCTATTATTATTTCTTCAGTAAATATATTTCATACTTCATGGTCACTGGTATAAAATTTCTCTTAACTGTGCTTTCATTAGATAAATTCAATGAAGAAAAGAAATTCTTAAGTCTGATTTGTTGTGAAAAGACTTGGAGAAATAGTTATATAGTTTTAAAAATTTAATTAAAAACCCCGAAATTAAATTTTCCCAAGATACATTGTAGATAGATGGAACCAGGTGTTACCTGCTAGAGAAAATCAGTCAATGATTTATTTTTAGTCAAGTATTTTTATGGATTGTTTCTAAGTATTTTTAAATTGTACATTATTTTTAGGAATTCTTATCTTTAGCATACTGTCTTATTATAGAAGAGTCTTATGTGAACAAAATGGATCAACACAGTGGCTTTAAGAATGGACTCAGGTATATTAGAGGTGTTGGGGATGGCACAGGATAGGGCGGTCCAGATCTGTAGTTAATAAGGTTTCTGTCAATCACCTAGTTGACTCAATAGCAACTAACGACAACAATATGAAATGGTTCTAAAAAGTTTATATGGATAATTGGTTGAAAGAATTGAGTCTTCAGTAGAAGGTAATGTTATAAGATTTTTATTCATTGCTAAAGTACTTGTTTTAGAGGTAAGCGGATTTTAAACTTAGGCATCATCTAACTTTACTATAAAAATATTAAGAATAAAGCCTAGAGTTAAGACCATAGACTTGGAAACCTGATTTTGGGTTCTCTCTCAAGCTCCTCTGCTTGTTACATCTATAGATTTTTATTTTTGCAACTTCGCTCCTGATCTCTGTAGCTAAAGTCATTCAACCTCCCTAATCCTTAAATGTTTTACAGTCTGAAATGAACTATTGTTGTTGAGTACCATCAAGTTGGAACTGACCCTTAGCTGACCCTTCAGTGGGTTTTCAGAGGCATTTAATCATACAGGAGGAGAGTGCCTGTTCATCTATCACAGAGCAGCTAGTAAATTTGAACCATGTGACTTTAGGGTTTCAGCAGAGCTTTTTCCCACTAGGCTACCAGAACTCCCTAGAATGCACTGAATCAACTTAAATATCTCTGAGTTTCTTTAGACTTCTGAAAACTGTACTTGAAAAAACTTTAGTTATTCTCTTCTGCTATAATTCTAATTCATTTATTTTGATATTAACTGAAAATGAAGCCAAGTCTGTCTTTTGTCTTCAGTTTAACTGTTTTACTAACATGAACTAATTAACAGTGATAAAGACTTGTAATTGAGCTGTTTTGTTCCTCAAGACAGCTGGCAGCTTTCTTCTCTGTTCTGGCTTAATGAGTGTTGCTTAAGAGCATAGGGGACTTTCATTTCATTCACTACCACTTTCGTTCTCTATATTCACTATTGACCTTTTGCTTTCTCCATGGTTGATGTCCTTACTGTCATCCCACAGCTCATGTGGTCTTCAGTCATTTAATGTTCAATGCATCAAACCAATCTTGAAATGCTTTTTAAATTCAGGTGGAACTGACCCAGAATCGTGTTTTGGCTCTTAGGAACTTGTTTCCATTTTCTTAGGCCTCAGTTTGACCTTCCACATGAGTAATTGAGAGTCTGTTCCAAGTTATCCCCTGGCCGTATTTTTACTGCTAATATAGAACTTCTGCCTCAACTCTTTTCACAAATGTAGGCAGTCTGATTCCTGTGTAGTCCACAGGATGAAGTCAATGTGTTGTTACTGTTTGTGCTTTTTTAGAAAAGTATTTACAATGAGTAAATTATTGATTTTACCACGTTCCACCAATGATCGCCAGCCTCATTTCTCTTACCAAGTCTGTATTGTCCAGCTACCAGTAATTCTTTTCCAACTTTTTGCATTCCAGTCATCAGTTACTAATAATGCATCTTGCCTACATTTTTCATCAATTTCTATAAAGACTGGAAAAGTTGATAGAAGTCCTCAATTTCTTCATCAGTTTTGTTGTTTTTTTTTCTAGTGGTAGGTGTGTATAATTTGAGTGGTAGTTGTAGTAACAGGTCTTATTATACAGATGGATAGCATCCTATCACTCACAGCTTTGTACTTCAGGATAGATCTTAAAGTAGATCTTAAAATAGATCTTTTCTTTGACAATGAATGCAACATCATTTCTCATCAGTTTGTCTTTCCTAACAAAATAGATCAATGATTGTCTGATTCAAAGGTTATTAAAAAGATAAGGGAGAAAGAAAAGACCAAAAAGAATGTCAGAAGAGACTTGGAAACTTACATTCTGAGAAACAGACCCAATACACTGCACGTCTCAAAATGAAGAAAACAAAAATCTTACCTCTGAAGCAATGCAACATCATGATAGATGAAGAAAAGATTATGGATCTGAAAATTGAACAGTGAGTAAGGATAACAGAAGAAAAATTGATGCCTTTGAATTGTAATATTGGAGAAGAGTATTGAATATCTTCTGGCCTATCAAAGCCAAATTGACCTTGGAGAAAGTGCAGCCAGGGTGCTCCCTAGAGTCAAGGATGGTGAAACTTGGTCACATCTACTTTGGGCATGTTGTCAGGAGGTGTCAGTCCTTGGAAAAAGTCATCATGCTGGGAAAGTTGGAGAGAAAGTGAGGAAGACCCTCAGCAAGATGGGTTGATTGACAAAGTGGACTTGAGCTTCTTAAGAGATGATGAAGATGGTACAGGCTAGGGAGAGTTCAGATCCATTGTTCAGGGGATTGTTATGAGTTGTGATGGACTTACAGGCATCTAAGAGTAAAACAGTACTCAGTGTTACTTTCCCTTCTTGCATAAACCTCAGTGTTTGTGAAGTTAGAAAGCACTGTGTATAGCAAGAATTCCATGTTTCATAAATGCGTTGTTTTCACAAATGTCAGTGTTCAGACATCTACTATGTTCTGAATCTGCTCCTTCCTATAGACCAGTGGGTTGTTGTTGTTGTTGTTATTATGTGCTGTCGAGTTGCTTGCGACTCTTAGCGACCCTATGTACAACAGCCCTAAACTCTGCTCTGTCCTGTGCCAGTCACATTGTCTCTGACACTGTCATCCCAATTATCCCAGTCACTGATTCAGTCACTGAATCAATCTACCTCCTAGAGGGCCTTCCTCTCCTGCGCTGTCCCTCCACCCTCCCAAGCATGATGTCCTTCTCCAAGGACCGGTCTCTCCTCACAACATATCCAAAGTATGTTAGATGGAGTCTTAGAATCCTTGCCTCAAAGGAGCCACCCGGTTTAACCCTTTCCAGGACAGATCTGTTTGTTTTCCTAGCAGCCCATGGTATTCTCAATACTCTTCTCCAGCACCACAGCTCAAAGGCATCAATTCTCCTTCTATCCTCCTTGGTCATTGTCCAACTCTCTGATACCTAACAAGTGATTGCGAAGACCATGGCCTGTATCAGACGCACCTTAGTCTCCAGAGAGACACCATTGCTCTTCAGTACTTTGGAGAGGTCCCTAACAGCAGACTTTCCCATGGCAATGCGCCTTTTAATTTACTGGCTGCTGGTGCCAAGACTGTTGACTATGGAGCCAAGCAAACTAAAGCTGTGTACAATCTCAATCTCTTCACCATCCATCCTGATGGATGCTACCAATTGGTCCAGTGGTGAGAATCTTTGTCTTCTTGACATTGAGCCTCAATCCATATTGGAGGCTGCAGTCCTTGACACTCTGCAGCAGGCGCTTCAGGTCCTCTTCAGTTTCAGCAAGCAGGGTTGTGTCATCCGCATAACGCAGATTGTTGATAAATCATCCACCAATCTTGACCCCACATTTCTCCTCATAGAGCCCAGCCTCCCGGATAATCTGTTCCGCATATAGGTTGAAAAGGTATGGAGATAGGATGCATCCCTGGCGTACGCCTTTCCCAATTTTGAACCATGCAGTGTTCCCTTGCTCTGTTCTGACGACTGCCTCCTGGTCCAAGTATAAGTTTTGCATTAGAATGATCAAGTGTTCTGGGAGTCCCATTCTTCTCAGAGTCAGCCGTAGTTTGTTACGATCTGCACAGTCAAATGCCTTTGCATAGTCAATGAAACACAGATAGACATTCCTCTGGTATTCCCTAGACCAGTGGGTAGTATGTGTTAATGAAGAAAACAAAGAAGCAGTGATATCATTAAGCTTAATTCTGGTTTAAATGGTAAAAGTTATTTGGTAAAATATTTACTTTGTATGTTGATGTTTTGTGAAAGAAAAAGCTTTTTAATTTTGAGGCAAAATTATAAGAAAATGTAAGCAGTACTCCAAAATTAATGATAATGTTTGTTTTAAACTAGTTCTGTGGCATTCTTAAAATCACAAATTTGACAACTCCCCAACATAAAATGTTGTATTCACACACCATATTTTTTTG